GATCATCCATGTTTAAATGAAACTCCCAGCTCTGTAAGAAGCTTTCACATCAGAGGACACTTTAATTGTACTAAACCAGCTGATCACTAGATGGCCTCATAACCTAAGAGATTCGGGCAGATCTAGGTTTAGGACATTGTGCGATTACCAGCCTTACTTTTAAAAACTTTGGGATTTATAGTTGTCACTTCAGAGAACAAGCAAGACTCCCTTTAAAAGGCTGTTTGCTAAATGTCATACTGAGTGTCAGAAGGATTCTAGAACAAGAGACTTGTGCTTTTGTACTCAGCAACTCAGTTTAAGATGTAGGCCAATGATTCCCAGGCTGTCAGTTGAGACTCCCAAAGCATATCACCAGGGAGCTTCACGGGGCATGCACATGTGTGAAGGGAGGTAGAAAAAGGCAGGTCACAGCCTCAAGTGAGCCCTGATGTGCTGCAGCACCACCACTCCTTCCATTCTCCTCTGGGGGCGGGGTTGCTGATCAGCCACACAAGGAGGCAGCACCAAATTCAGCCAGCAGGGGGAACAAGAGACAAGAGTCCAACTTTCACCCTAGGGTTGCACAGAAGGGGATTGGTAAATGGAAGCTGCCGCTCCACCACACGGCTGGACTGACTGGGGAAGGAAGAGAGGAGGCCTGCTGCCTGTTAGTAACTGAGATGTGGGCAGTTGGGCCTTGTGGGTAGAGCAGGAGTCAGTAGCCAGGAATGGGAGCCTAGAGTCAGAACTGGAGTAAGAAATCAAGAGTCAGAGCAAGGTTATCTGGAGTGAAGCAGGGCTAGTCACACAGGCAAGATCACAGACATGGGTAAATGCTATGAGCAGCTGCCAGCTTGCTATTGGGCTGAAAAGCTGATCTGCTGACTCTTCCCAGCAGTCAGGGGATGTAGCCAATCAGGCAGCCTACTGCAGGCCAGCTGTGCCTATTAGGATGCCTGGAGACTGGCTCTGCTGCAGACCCTGATTCCTGACACCATCCTCTTCCCAGTCTCAAAGCACAAAGGCAGTGCTGGGAGAGAGATTGGGGAGGACAGAGCAGATCTCAGGAGAAGACAGATGAGGGGATTTTAGGGGAAATTGGTGGTGGGGCAGAGGAAATCCATTGGGAGGGAAACACACAGGTGGAGGAGACGGAGTTTGAAAGCAGAGGGGAATCTGTGAGAGGGAAAAAGAAAAGGAGCACTTGTGGCACCTTAGAGACTAACAAATTTATTAGAGCATAAGCTTTCGTGAGCTACAGCTCACTTCATCGGATGCATTCAGTAGAAAATGGGGAAGCATACTATAAATTTGCTTGAGGGACAGATACAGTATCTGTTTGCAAGGGGAGGGAATGGTCCCAGTAAATCCCTTTGAAAGGGGCTGCTGTTACATTAAGGCTGGGAAACCCTGATCTAGACTGAGTTAACTTTATTTCACAGAGGCTCTATGAGTGAGTAAAGAAAAAAAACAACTAAACTTCACTATTGTTAAAAATAGGTACAGGGTGTAAATCCATTTCCCATCTGGTTTTCTTTTATTTACATTTTTAAATTTAGGGTTAGTTTACCCCAGTTTGCAAGAGTTTTTACAAAATCTTTTTTTTTTTTTAAGTTAGAAGTTTCATCTCACATCTGTATGACATGGTCAGATTTTTAAGAAAATTATACTATATTTTACTGAATTTGGTGCTGATAAGTTTGAGTTTTATGAATATAGATATCTTATAAAACACAAGAACATAGTAATAGTAGCAAAAATAAATACAATATCATTAAACAATGATATTTCATATGCATTAATTTAGGTTACACTTTCCACTCCACTTTGATGGAATTTAGATTGATAACTCCTATTACACTCAATGACATTAGTGTGGTTTAAGCCTGTATCAGCCATTGAAGATTCAGGCCCTGATCTTGTAAAAATTTATCCACATGCTTAACTTGATGCACTGTGGTTGAAATCCTGGCCCCCCCTTAAGTCAATGGCAAAACCCCCATTAACTTTGATGGGGCCAGGTTTTCACCCTGTGAGTAGTTCTGTTGTAGTGAGTGCAGGATCGGAGGTTTAGCGCTTTACTTCTTCGAAGCCACTATTCACTAGCAAAACAATCTCAAAATAATATGGTTTTCAGTTACCAAATTCTATCTTTGTTTTTATCTCACATGCTGAATTTCTTCCAAATAACAGATAACTAATAACTGATGTTTTTTTCCCTACAGGAACATATCAACTATAAATTGGATCACTCTAATTATTTTTGTTTCATTTTGTTCTTTACTTTCAAATGCAGAACTAAAAACCAATTAGAACACTGGTATGGGAAATGCTTGTTATCAGTAAGTATGAAGGGCCATGGAATTATAAGAATTTCAGTCTCAAAAAACCAACAAAAGATGGGCACCCTAGACATTGCACCATTGTGCTAGGACATGAGGACGCGAAAATGAAACTGACTAGTTTACGTTCACTGTCCTGGTTGAGCGAAACACAAAGAGTGAAAAGTAAATTAGACTGCAAGGATTGTTTCTTATTTTGACAGGTTTCAGAGTAGCAGCCGTGTTAGTCTGTATCCGCAAAAAGAAAAGGAGGACTTGTGGCACCTTAGAGACTAACAAATTTATTTGAACATAAGCTTTTGTGAGCTACAGCTCACTTCATCGGATGCGTGCAATGGAAAATACAGTGGGGAGATTTTATATACTCAGAGAACATGAAACAATGGGTGTTACCATACAAACTGTAACAAGAGTGATCAGATAAGGTGAGCTATTACCAGCAGGAGAGCTGGGGGGAAGGGGGGGGGACCTTTTGTAGTGATAATCAAGGTGGGCCAGTTCCAGCAGTTGACAAGAACGTGTGAGGAACAGCGGGGTGGGGGAATAAACGTGGGGAAATAGTTTTACTTTGTGTAATGACCCATCGACTCCCAGTCTTTATTCAAGCCTGAGTTAATTGTATCCAGTTTGCAAATTAATTCCAATTCAGCAGTCTCTCATTCGAGTCTGGTTTTGAAATTTTTTGTTTGTTTGTTTTTTGAAGAATTGCCACTTTTAGGTCTGTAATCGAGTGACCAAAGAGATTGAAGTGTTCTCCGACTGGTTTGAATGTTATAATTCTTGACGTCTGATTCGTGTCCATTTATTCTTTTACATAGAGACTGTCCAGTTTGGCCAATGTACATGGCAGAGAGGCATTGCTGGCACATGATGGCATATATCACACTGGTAGATGTGCAGGTGAACGAGCCTCTGATAGTGTGGCTGATGTGATTTGGCCCTATGATGGTGTCCCCTGAATAGATATGTGGACACAGTTGGCAACGGGCTTTGTTTCAAGGATAGGTTCCTGGGTTAGTGTTTTTGTTGTGTGGTGTGTGGTTGCTGGTGAGTATTTGCTTCAGGTTGGGGGGGCTGTCTGTAAGCAAGGACTGGCCTGTCTCCCAAGATCTGTGAGAGTGATGGGTCGTCCTTCAGGATAGGTTGTAGATCCTTAATGATGCGTTGGAGAGGTTTTAGTTGGGGGCTAAAAGTGATGGCTAGTGGCGTTCTGTTATTTTCTTTGTTGGGCCTGTCCTGTAGTAGGTAACTTCTGGGTACTCTTCTGGCTCTGTCAATCTGTTTCTTCACTTCAGCAGGTGGGTATTGTCGTTGTAAGAACGCTTGTTGAGAGACTTCAACAAAGAAACTTCAAAACCAGACTCCAAGGAGAGACTGCTGAATTGGAATTAATTTGCAACCTGGATACAATTAACTTAGGCTTGAATAAAGACTGGGAGTGGATGTGTCATTACACAAAGTAAAACTATTTCCCCATGTTTATTCCCTCCCCCCCACTGTTCCTCACACATTCTTGTTGTTGGGGACACTGGGGCATGGCCACTAGGTAACTCGAGGGGATGGAAGACCACGAGTGTCGATGAAGCCCCCTTGCACTAGGCCCAGGTGTCCTTGGCCCCCCCTCCTGCCTGGAGGCACTTGCAGCAGTTCTGCGTACTAGGCCCAAGTGTCCTTGGCCCCCCCGCCTGGAGGCACACACAGCAGTTATGCTGAGAATCTGCAACAATATGTTGCAGAGTCAGACTGCCTGAAACTAAGCAAGTCCACACAGGGCAGATATGGAAGAACAATGCTGAATAAAGCAGCTTTATGTATAGTTTAACAAATGATACTGGGAACTGGATTGGCTGGCTATATGGATACTTGGGGCAGCTTGCTATTGGATAAGTATGCTGGGAAAAAGGATGTATAAAAGCCTGTGTAACTTCCTGCTCGGTGTGCAGGATTTGAGATTTTATTCTCCCTGTACCTTTTTGCAGCTGCAAATAAACTTTTCTGCTTCTCCACCCCATTGTGATTATTGGGTGTAGCACACCGGGTAACGAACCAACTCAAGCTGTTGTTCAGCCTCTCGGCACTGGGTGCCGGCAATATTGTCAACTGCTGGAACTGGCCCACCTTGATTATCACTACAAAAGGTCCCCCCCCCCCCGGCTCTCCTGCTGGTAATAGCTCACCTTACCTGATCACTCTTGTTACAGTCTGTATGGTAACACCCATTGTTTCACGTTCTCTATGTATATAAAATCTCCCCGCTGTATTTTCCACTGAATGCATCCGATGAAGTGAGCTGTAGCTCACGAAAGCTTATGCTCAAATAAATGTGTTAGTCTCTAAGGTGCCACAAGTACTCCTTTTCTTATTACTGATTTTGTAATCTCAGTTGCTCTCTTTCACATCAGGAAGAACATCTGGCTTTTTTAAAAAATGCAATTTTTAGACAGACTATTCCTATATATAATCCCAATCTAACCTCACCAAGAATCACAGAACTTTAGAGATGGCAAGAGGCCTGTCTGATCTGTCTCCCTGCCATCGCAGGATTTTTCCTTTACACAGGCATCTCAAGGCAGATCCAGCAGCAGTTCTACTATATCAAACACTGCCCCCTTTAAGGGATGTAAGGGAAAAATCATGCACGTGGCTTCCAGAGCAGAGCACGAGCCTGATGATCTCACCGTGCTGGTGCACGTGAAACAGGAAACAGAAAGCCAGGCAAATGCTATTTGCTAACCACAGCAACAACACAAGTTGCAAAAAAACAACAACAACAACAAAATGGAGAAGGACAGATTCACTGGGCAGACGGACTCCAGGTTTAAGCTGTCACAGTAATAACAAAGGTAGGCTTTTAAAAAACATTAAAAGTTAAAATCTTTTCTGCACTAGCGTTAGCACAGTGTTAGCAGCACCTTCCTAAGGAGGACTGCTTTTACTAGCTCAGTCCCTACTCCCCTGGCCCACGAAGACAGGGGTGGAACTGTTAGAAGACTGTACAAAGCTCTGCTGAGCAGCAGGCTCGCTGCTCTCGAAGCCGTGAGTCTTTTAAGAGAGGCTGGGAAGAGAGGTACATGGTCAGTGATACAGACCTGGCAAGTCTCAATCTTTTGGATTAATTTTAAGGCAGTTTTAAGAATCCCTTATTTTTGGATTAATTTTATCCGAAGAACACAATTAATTTGAAATCTAATCAGTTTAAAAAAAGGTCGTGCTATTTGAGTCCTTCTGTCAGCGTATGTGGTTTTACGCTCACATTTCTTATATTTAAAAACCGATATTTTCCCTCTCCTGTTGCTATAGGAGAAACCCATACAACTCGGAAAACTGACTAAACGGGAAATCATGAAATTGACCATAAAACAAAGTGCGGTCAAATGCACTGTACAAACCAACTGAAAAAAAAAAAAAGTCCTCTCTTTTTGATAGATTCGAAGATTTTAAGGACAGAAGTGACCATTAGATCATCTAGTGAGTCTGACCATCTGTACAACACAGACCACAGAATTTCACATAGTTGTGTACTGTCTCTCAGCTTCATAGATTCATAGAATTTAGAGCCGGAAGGGACCATATGGTCATGTAGTCTGACCTCCAGTATATGAGCCATTAACGCTCACCCAGCTACCCTTATCCTGAGCCCAATAACTTGTGTCTGTCTCAAGCTTAAGTTATGTTTGACCTAAAGAATATCTTCCAAAAGGGCATCCAGTCTTGGTCTGAAGACATCAAGATATGGAGGATACACCACTTCCATTGGTAGTTAGTTCCAGTGATTAATCACACACACTATTCAAAATTTGTGTCTAATTTCTCATTTGAATCTACCTGGCTTCAGCTTCCAGCCATGGGTTCTTGTTATGTCTTTCTGCGCTTGATTTAAAAAGCCCTTTGGTACCTGGTATTTTCTCCCCATGAAGGTATTTATACACAGTAATCAACTCACTTCTCAATCTTCTTTTTGATATTCTTAACGGGTTGGGATATTTAAGTCTCTAGCCCCCAAATTATTTTTGCAGCTCTTTTTGGAATCTTCTTCAATTTTGTTACCTTCTTTTTAAAATGTGAACACTGGACATGTACACAGTACGTGTCTTACTTATGCTGTATTCAGAAGTAAAATCACTTTCCTACTTCTGACTACTTCCTTGTCTATACCGAGGTAAAATTACCTCCCTATATCTCAGTAGTGGCCAGTGTTGCCAATTCCCATGATTTTGTCATGGGTCTCATGATAATTGTTTTCCTTAAAGCCCCAGCTTCTGGATTCAGGTGGATATGTGATGATTTCAGCCTTCATTCTTAAAGAAAAGGACGTTTCTAGTCCTCGTGGCTATGGAGAAAGCTTCAAAATGTGACCCCAGTACACTGCATCCTAAAGGCTCAAAAAGCGGAAGGCAAATAAAAACAACATCAAATGTATTATTTTTACATAATCTCATTATTTTAAAGCCAATCTCATGATTTTTGGTGAGCCTGGCTCATGATATTTGACAATTTGGGGTTGGCAATACTGGCAGTCCCCTATGTATACATCCAAGGGTTGCATTAGCTGTTTTTAACCACAGCTTCTCATTCATGTTCAGTGGCTTGTCCACTACTAGCCTACAATGATCCTTTTCAGAGTTACTGCTTTCCAGGACACAGTCCCCCATTCTGTAGGCATCGCCGGCATTCCTTGTTCCTAGATACATAGCTTTGCATTTGACTGTATTAAAGCATATTTTATCCCAGGTTTTCAAGTGATCCAGATGGCTCTGTATAATTGTCGTGTTGTCATCATTTAGTGCTCCACTAATTTTTGTGTCATCTGCAAATTTTATCAGCAGTGATTTTATATTTAATTTCCAGATCATCGAGCAAAGTGTTGAATAGCATTGGGCCTACTACCGATTCCTATGAAACCTCACTAGAAACATCCCATTCAATAATGATTCCCCATTGACAATTACTTTTTGAGAATTGTCAGTTAGCCAGTGCTTAATTCATTTAATGTGTGCTCTGTGGATATTGTTTAGTGCTCTTTCTTAATCAGAATGTCATGCAGTACTAAGCAAATGCTATACAAAAGTATAAGTATATTATACCTATATAGTTACCTTTATCATCCAGACATAATCTTCTTAAAAAATAAAATCAGTTAATTTGATAAGACCTATTTTCCATAAAAGCATTTTAACTGGTGCTGATTATATTCCTGTCCTTTAATTCTTTATCGGTTGTATACTGTATCGGCTTTCCCATTATTCTGCCTGGTGTTGATGTCAGACTAACTAGCCTATAGTTACCAGGTCATCCCACTTGTAATAATATTAGCTGTAACTTGCAATACTATGTGCATAACGTATTTTAGGAATGTAGGTTTTAAGTTAACAATGTCCCTTTAATGATTAAACTTTTGGCCTGTGTTACACTGAGTTACACTGTGTTACACTTAGTTTTAAAACTAAGAGATTTTAAATGTCTCGCTCATTCAGATTGTTCCCACCGTTTGACAGCCCACTCAGTGCAGGATTTTAAGCAACATTTACGTGGAAATCCACAGGAGATTCAATAATAGAGCTCTTTCTTGAATGGAAAATAAGGTGCGTTGTTCCTACACCTGGAAAAAAAATTAGAGGTAAGAAAGACTTTAGATTTCCATCAACTTCAAAGGCAGCAAGAATTTTCAGCAGAGGTGTGAGCTAAGTGATAATAGCATAGTCATTGCTCTCCTTAGTGTCCTGGTTTGATTTTGACCGGAGGTTAAAAAAGCTTACGGCATGAATTAAGATGCACTCAGGGCCCAGTCTTGCACTCCAGTCGCACCCCTGGGCACAGTTAGTGTTCTGGGTGTAGCAGAAATGGATAATCATGCCCTATGAGTACATTTTGGGTCAATTAATGCCTGTTCTACGCCTGCCAGGGACTTCCTCTACATTGTTGAAATTCCATAGGGTACAGAAAGGCAGCTTTTTGGCCCCTTTTTGCTGGCAGAGCTGGTGTAAGGTGGTTGTGGGGCATCAATGAATTGGGGCCACAGCCTCTTTTTTAGGGTCCTCCTCCCAATGAGTAGTTCATATCTGTCCCACTTGGGGGCAGTGTGAAATTGACTGGAGTCAGGACAGTGTTGCTGCTACCCCCACAGTGTTTTGATTGGCAGCAGTGTTGTTCATTGTACGCTGCTGCTGCTTGGTAAAGCTACGAGCCTCAGCACAAGTGCTGGAGCCCTCCCTTTGCAGACCGCACTACAGTGGTTTTCATTCAGCTCACATATGGCTATCTCCACAGCCCTGTGGGTTGGAACCTGCTCTTGTTTTAGTGAAAGCTTAAAGTCCCCAGAAATTGATGGTTTAATGCCCCCCCACTTGCCAGGGAATACTTCTTACTCACCCCTGGAGAGTAGATTAGTTAAGTACTGCACTATAAATATCTTAACAAAATTCAAAGCAGCCATTGAACCTTTAATTAGCATTTCTATAGCCACTTTAAAGTTCATGCCACATATAACAACAACGTGGGCTCTCTGCCATGCCTGTGCATAATTGCATAGATTGAACATTCACTGAAAAGCAATAGGTGTGAACATCCTGCTGTTGTGTTTATCTGTGGGGAGTAGGGAGGCAGACGCTAAAAACTGTGTGTATTTAATCTTTAAATCTGTCAATTCAACCACTGACATTGTATGTCCTTGGAAGTGTTTGAGACACTTCCCCATATGCAGTTCCCTGATTTGATGACTTTAATGGCTCATTCCCTTGAACGCCACCACTCCCGTCATGGATTTTATTTTAAGTATCCAAAGACACTGTAGTAGAGCACAATTCAAAGTAATACCCTTCCCCAAACCTTTTCACGGTTTTGTAGCAAAGGTGCCATTTCATGTTCACTCTCGCCTTCCCTATGGGAATACCTGCTGCAGAATGTGAGATTAGTAGCCGAGCCTTAGACCAGGTCTATGCTAAGAGCACACTGCCAGTATAGCTACTCTAGCATACTATACTGGACGCAGCCCCCTCCGCTTGCCCCCTCCAAGTAAAATAAGCTATGGTGGCAAAACACAGTTTTATTGGTAGAACTGCGTCTGCACTAGGGACTTTTGCTGGCACAGCTCTGTCGGTCAGAGATTATACCTTCACACCCCTGCCTGACATAGCTATGCCAGTACCAGTTGCCATCCAAGGCCTAAAGTTGAAATTAGAAATCAAGTCCATCTAAACGGCAAGCCCAGCAGTAACAGTATGTGGTGTAATTTATGCTCAGTGCATGTTTATGTTTCCTTAGGGCCACTGAAGTCAATAAGAGTTTTGCCATGGACTTTAGTGGAGCCATGGTTTGGCCCATTGGGTTGACTTTGTCTCCTCCTGCCATAACAGAACTAGAGTAATGAGCTGTCACATGAACTGTTGCTTTCCATCCAAAGAAACTCACCCCACTGTCCTCTAAGTTCTCCACCCCTGTGTAGGATTTGCCTTTTCTGGAACTACATTGTAGACCTGTGACATGGGGAAATATGAGCCTGACAAATTTGAGATCTTTCATCCACGTATAGCAACTCCCATCCAGCTGCCGCCTCTTGCAGCATTGATGGTTGTTAACCTTGAAATAGATATTTTATCATTAATACGTTGCTCTTGCTTTCAGGAATCGCCATTCATTGCTACAAAACGAGACCGCTTCTGAGTTGGTTTCAAACACGTCTCCTCACACACTTACAAGATCAACCTTCGCTGTGCAGCTGCTTTGAATTCAGATCAGGAAGGATTTTTACCAAAGGGGAGGCATGGTATTCTGCTACTTGAAGTGGTTTATAGGCTTTGTCAGTAGGGATGTCCTCACAAAAGCTTCAAGGAGCAGTAACAGAAGCACCTCTTTGGTATGGAGATGCTGCTATCACAGGACTCCAGGAAGCTTCCTGGATCCTGAGATGAGAGCATTTCTGGAGGAGAACACTGAAGTCAGTAGCAGTGGGCACCTCACACCAGAGATACGACTGCGACTTCTGACTCCTCGCTGCAGATTCTGGCAGGAAAGAGCTGACTTGTGGCCCTATGGCGACCCCTTCTGGGCAATCTACTGGCCAGGAGGCCAAGCCCTGTCCAGGTACAGTGCCCAGTGACCACTAGAGTAAATATGTACTATCACCCCATGCTGCATCGGATACCAGATTTGCTTGTGATAGTACTGCTCTCTAGTGGCTGCAGCCAAAGGGGTTTGTAAGCCCTAGTACAAGTACACCTAACACAGATTCTCCTTCAGCTCAAGTGATAGAAGCCTGTGGCTTTGGAATAGAAGGTCCCAAGTACTATCTCTGCTGATGACTATGAAGTCTGTGCAGCTGCTGTATGTAGAATAACTGTTGGCTGTTAAATCTGTTGACTTCAATGGAGTAGCATGTGTTTACACCAGGGCTGAATTTGGATGTGTGGGAAAGTTTTGCATTTTCCACAAAAATATTGCAAGGTATTTAATCACATCATTTAGTGTCACTTCAAGAGGGGAATACTTAGTTCACAATAACTCAGGGTTATTCCAGGAGGAGACAAAACATGCTCATGGAAGCATATCTGTGTCCACTGAAAAGGGTAGAATTCTGCTGGTGCAACCTTTGAGTGTAGACAAGGCCTAACCTATATCCAGACTGGTTCTAAAATCCTAAATAAGGGGGCGGGAATGTACACAGACAGGATTATTTTATATTTATCTGACCGTGTTGCACTCATTTACAAACTGTATGCCATATTTTATTTCTGACAATTTTGCAGTCAAAATGCAGATGCTGTCTCTGATTCCCAGGGGCTGTTAATGTTCTTATATCACCCAGAAGTATCTTTTCCTACCTAAGAAGTCATGAGTCATAACTGCAAACAGCCAACCTTCAGCCATCTCCCATTAAGTTGAAAGGGAAAGGTTTGATTTGGGGTTGGGTTGGGTTTTTAATACTTTAAATTTTTATCATTTTATTTATTTTTGTCTGCAAGAAAGCAAAAATCAGAGGCTTTTTTAAGTTGGAAACAATATGAGTCTCACAGCTAAGTTATGAGAGGTGATTAGATGGACCTTCAACACAATTAAAGTGCTGCTAAAAACAGTAAGTCAATTAGGTACTGTAGTTAATCTCATCTCCATGGTTTGTTATCAAATGGTGCCTTTGCTACCTAACCATTTGGTTAGCAACATTAATTAATGCTCTGGCATTTCACCAGCAGATTTAACAACGATTTGCTGTTTTGCTGACCTGAGAACTTCAGTAATGAATTGCATAATCTGAAAAAGTGAAAAATGGACGGTGCGTAGGGGGGGAAATGCTGCTTCCGCAATTGTATGCTCTTTCAACAATGTCTGTTTCCCACAACATCTGAGCTCTCTGATGACAAAGTTTCAGAGTACCCTTTTCAATATAACCTGAGATACCTTATTAACCTAGCCTTGCAGACAACTGTCTCCAGCACTAAGGCAATCTATTTCCACGCTGGGCTAGCATTTAGGCCCTAACTGTTTTCTGAACTTCTAAAGCGAACATCAATATTACAGGTTTCAGAGGAACAGCCGTGTTAGTCTGTATTCGCAAAAAGAAAAGGAGTACTTGTGGCACCTTAGAGACTAACCAATTTATTTGAGCATGAGCTTTCGTGAGCTACAGCTCACTTCAGATGTATACCGTGGAAACTGGAAATATTACAGGCAATCTGAGAAACACTGAGTTGGAATTAAGGTACTTAAAAATATTCTGGGCACAATCACCCTCTCTACTTGCATTACTTCAGATCCAAGCAGGGTTCTGCTGCATGCTCCTCCTTTTCTATGACCCCCCCTCCATATATAAGTTATGGGTTCATCTGAGAGAGAGCAAGGCTGCCATAGAGGAAAGGGTGTCAGCAGGGCTGGATTAAGGTTATGAGGGGCCTGACACTAATGGGAGGGAAGGGCCTAAGTATGAATTACATATTGCAAGAACAATTATGAAGTCATAAAACATTTATCGACAAACATATTTACATATTTATTTATTTATGTAAAATTAACAAGTTTGTTCTACTCTAACTACGCTCAATTCTTCAAACAACACCCCCCCCCCCCAGCTTTAGCAGTGGCAAAGTCATGAATGATGTCATTGTAATTCAAAGACCTGATGATTTCATTCTCAATGCTCAAGAGGGACAAAGCACTGAGATGCTCTTGAGTCATGGTGGATCGGAGGACATTTTTGACCCTGGTTAGAAGACAGAAGGAACATTTCTCCACTACAGTTAGTGATCATTAATGACAAATACAGCCGTAATGCAGTTTCAACATTTCAGAAACATTCTATCACAGTGATAACTCAGTACATCCAAATACAATTTGCTTTCATCATCTTTTCTCTCTAAATCTGAGAGTGATGCGAATTCAACAAATTGAAGAAATTCTTTAGTAAAATCGACAGGGAGATCGTCTGGGTCCTTCTGACACAGACGTCTGAAACCTTCACTGACTTCAGAACTTGAAATGTTAGGCAAAAAATTTGTCAGTACACTATAGTACAGTTTTGTCAATATTTTCGTAAGCCTCGATCCAATGTCCTAATGAACTCTTCAGTTTGTCAATGATTGTGATGAAGGTATTAGCTCTGAAGGCCTCCTTGTCACTGAATGAGTGGGAAGCTGCATCGTCGCATGTATTCTGTCTTTTGCGGCGTTTGGCTGACTCTTACTCATGGTTAGCAGTCTTTGCAGCCCCCTGAATTTCATACACATCAAAACTATCCTGCATTCGTTGAAAAACAGTTCCAAGACTCCTCATTAGGTTTACCGCAGTGGAAAGGTCAATTTGAGCACTTTGCAAGCGTAGACTGCACCTGCTGAATGGCTGAAGTATATCATTCCAGACCTCACACAAAATAGCAGTTTCCAAAGGGTGCATTGCATCACTCAGGATCTTCGCATCTTTTCTTGTTGCTGATTTTTGAGATTCATCTTCCTCGATGCTCTCTAGTGCTTCAAGGATGTTGGGGTATCCCAGAACAACTGCATTCTCAGCTTCAGTGTTAGCGCTCCACCGTGTCCCTGAGAGTGATTTGGGCACCCCTTTGGTAGTGAATCTCTAAGAATCATCCAACGACTGGTTGATGCAGAGAAAAAAGATTGTACAATTCTTGGACAAATCCAAAAAAAGAAACTGGTTCAACACAACAATCCACGGCAGATTGGCCAACAAGGCTGAGTGAGTGAGCAGCACATGGTATGTAATCAACCAAAGCACTGTGCTCTTTTATCTTTGCCTGCATCCCTGAATATTTGCCACTCATATTACTTGCATTGTCATAGCTTTGGCCACGACAAAGGCGGATGTCAATCCCATTTCTGGTAAGGAAATTGAGTAGGTGCGAGACAAGTTTCTCCCTTGTGTAGCTGGTGATGTTTATGAAGGTCATGAAACGCTCAACTGGTCCGCTGGGTAGCACATAACGCAAGATGACAGTCAGCTGATCTACATGTGACACATTCGGTGTTGAGTCGACAGACACTGAAAAATATTCCACATCTTTGATCTCATCTATAATCACTGATAGTGTCTTTGCCAGCAGTGCAATGAATTAATCACGAATAGTCTTTGATAGATATAATGTATGGCCTTTTCCATAATTTGCATCTTCATTGATGTGCTGAGCTAAGAAAGGGTCGAACTTAGAGATTAGCTCTAGAATGCCAAGATAATTGCCATTGTGTTTCAATCCAACAGTCTCATCTGAGCCACGGAATGGCAGACCACGCTCAGCAAGAAAAACTATGGTTTTAACAACGCATCTGAGAACATTCTTCCAATAAGCACGAGCTTCCAAAAACTGATTTTCCATTTGTGTATCAATTCTGCCACTTACTTTCTTTCGGGCGTGGTAGCTGCTGGCGATGTATGCTGCTCACTCATTGCATGATTGATAATGTATGCAGTATTCTTCCAATCATTGAAGCCTTTGCAGAACATTCCCCACTTTTTGGTATGAGAAAACAGGCTGCAATAAAAACAGTACACTTTCTTCTTAGAAGGTGAATAGATGAGCCATTTGTTTGCCAATCTGTTTGTTAGACTTCACATATTCAAACATTGACTTGGTCAGGTAACAATTCTGATTGGTGTACTCTTGCTTTGTCAATGACAAGTCAGCATCTAGATTCTGGCATTTCTGTGGGCCCTTCTCTGTCCAATATGCAATGAGATCTTGAGAAGTCACGTCCCACGCGCCTGGATCGTTGGAGAAGGATATTTTTGTCTTACTATCACTGGGGGGAAAGTCTTGAGAGGAGCAGGGTGAGACTGCAGCTAGAGAAGTCACAGGAGGCTGCTCCTTTTCATCAGACGCAGGCGCAACAGGGTCACGTGGGCTGGTATTCGCCTGGACTTCCTCACCACCAGACTTAGCAGGAGGAAAAAACGTTAGGAGCAAAGGAGAACTTTTCAGTACTGCATCTTGTCTTTGCCGTCTGTCTTTGGCCTCCTTCAATTTCTACCATCCTCCTTTCTTCAACATGGCTTCTATTGTCCAGTGTAGGCCTACTGTGTACAAAGTTCTATGTTGCTCGGCCCACAAAGACAAAATCACAACCACCGTAAATTGAATTCACAATCTTGATAGATTAATTTGTACAAAGCAATATCTAATGAGAAAAAATTTCTGATGGCCCCGTTACCGTCGCTCAGCTGTTACTTCAGTGTGGAATGGAGGGCCTAAAAATAGGAGGGCCTAAGGCTATAGTCTTATTAGCCTATGGGTTAATCTGGCCTGGGGTGCCAGGAAATAGTGCTACTGGGCCATCACATAAATTCCATTGCTCTTTTTGTTGGTGCCCTCTAAGCTACAGAATATCCCTGTGGATCTCAGAACATCTGCACATTAGGAGGGTCGTGCTGCCTGCTCATTGTATGGAATAAGGGGAGGAGGGTTGGTTAAACCCCTTCCCCATGGCAGAATAGTGAAGAGTCTCACCTGTTGTATATTGTCATAGCCCCTATGAAGCTAGGACAACCTTCATCCCACCCCCACACATAGGGGAGAAAATGACGTGCTGTATTTAATAATAATAATAAATAATAATAATAATACCTGGCTCTTATATAGTCTTCAGGCTTTTCCTCCTCAGATCCAGGTTAGAGGTCTTTGTTTGCTGACTCTTCACAGCACAATGGTTCTGGCTGTCATGGTGCCAAGCATAATCTCACATTCACTGTTAATTCGTCTTATTTTTCCTGTCACTCCGGTGTAGCATTTCAGTGGAATATGAGCATGTGGCTCTTTAAAAACCAGAAAAGGAGCTCGTGTTGCAAGTTGTCAGATAAATCATGTGGCAAGACATGAGTTGCTTTGAAGTTATAGAATTTACATCTCTCAGAGGCTGAGTGCTGCATCAAACTATCCAGACATTGCTGTTAAAACATTCATATTTGTACTGATAGTTGTAACTTTAATGTCACTACTATCAGCTACAGTTGTTCCATTTCCTGCTTTGAGTGTCAAGTTTCATAGCCACCATCCAATTTTAACCCATTCATTCCATGTTTTAAACCGAGAGAATGATCTGATTGATTGAAATGAAGGATGTAGCTTGTTGCTGTTGTCGCACTGCATGCACCCTCTGGTGGTTTTTTGTGTTAGCACAGGTTTCAGAGGAACAGCCGTGTTAGTCTGTATTCGCAAAAAGAAAAGGAGTTCTTGTGGCACCTTAGAGACTAACCAATTTATTTGAGCATGAGCTTTCGTGAGCTACAGCTCACTTCATCAGCACAGACATGCTGGTTTGCAGGAGAGACTCCATGCAAGGCTTACATGGAATATCTTCTGAATTAATATCCTGCATCATTACATCTATGAAGTGGACTCTCACCCAGTTTTCATTTTATGCTCAGGTATATCTTAGATAACCCGGATGCTGTCAGAATGGGATCAGTACTAGATCTCGGAAGTGGATGTGGAGCAACAGCAATCGCTGCTGTGATGAGCGGTGCATCCCAGGTCCTTGCTAATGACATCGACCCCAGTAAGATACTTCTTTCCAAGCCCTGCAAAAGGACATTTTTCAAGCACATTTGAGGAGTAGCATTTCTTTCAGTTGTTTGGAGAAATTCCTGGTTTCAAATAAAATTAGAAGGAAGCAAAAACGTTACGCAGGTCCTGCCCAGTGCTTCAGTTTACAGCGCTATCGGCAGAGCCGTTCCTGGGGGATGGTGCATCGGGGTGACCGCTCCGGGTGCCACGCTTTCGGGGCCCCTGCGGGCTGGTGCAATTGGCCAGTGCCGCACGGGCGGCAGGTGAACCGCTGGCTGGGGGAGGCTACCCTCAGCCCTGCCCCTTCCACCCGAGGGAGAGCGCGCCGGGAGGGGAAGAGTGTATGGCAGTGCGACTGCAGCCTCCCCAGTCCCAGAGCGCCAGGACGGAGAGCGTGTGGCACCGCCGGAGCCTCCTCCCCACCCCCAGGAAGGCGGGCGCCATGGCCCCAGCCCGCTGGAGCCCAGGAGTGCTACCAAAGCAGTACCCTGGCAGGGCGGAGTGTAGGCTGGGCCACGCCTGGCTGTTTGGGGAGGCACTGCCTCCCTCAGCCTCCCTTACCTGCCCTCGGCACGGTCGGTCCCGGAAGTGACGTCACTTCCGCCCTGGGCCCCGCACCCCCTTAGGGAAGGCCCTGACTATCAGTCTAGAATCTTTGGCAAACATTAAGGACTAGATTCTGCCGTCCTTACTCATGTGACTGAGGCCATGTCTACACTACAGAGCTTACAGCGGCACAGCTGTACCGGTGCAGCTGCGCCCCTGTACGGTCTCTCATATAGAGCTCTGTGCTGAGAGCTCTCCCATCAGCAGCCTGAAATCACCTCCAGTGAGCAGCGATAGCTTCTCCCGCCAACATAGCGCTGGGCACACTACCACTCATGCCGGCATAATTTATGTCGTTCAGGGGGGTGGAATAGTCACACCCCTGAGCAACAAGTTTTGCCGACATAAGTGGTAGTGTGGACATGGCCCAAGTAGTACCTCACTCTGTGCTCATGCCCATTGAAATGAATGGGAGAGCACATTTTCTAACGTACTGTCCCTAGCAAGAAGACCCTCCAGGGGAAGTGGGTAGTTTAGTCTCTATGCCGAATCAGGCCTTGACCTCTCTGCCAAGCCTGCCAATTTAAGTGTTGCTTTTTGTGTAGTGGGCACCAAGTCACTAGGAACTGGACTGCAGTGGAAGCCTGTCTCGCGATAGATCATAGGATTAGCAGGAGAACTGGGTTCTGTTTCCAGCACTTGCATTGAGTTGCTCATTGACCTTGGGCAAGTCACTTAACTACTCTGTGTCTAGTTTCCCTGGATGTAAAAATGGGGATAATATTTATCAGACTGGTGCCATGAGGCTTAATGTTTGTAAAGCTCTTGGAGTTCTCTGGCCAAAAAGGAAGTATGAGTGCACGGTAATTTTACACACACCTCTATTATTTTTTCACAATGGCCCTTGCTACCATCTGTCATGGGATAACAAGTATAAGTCATTAACAGCCTGGATCATGTCAAAATTGGTGATGCCTTTAATGTCTTCTGCGGCATTACAACTTGATGCAAAACTAGACCTGTGAATTTGCTCAAAGCCTCTTGTAACAATAAAAAAGTCAGACTTAGTATGTTATTTCAGATTTTTCACAGTCACCTTCAAACCTGACAGATACTTGGATGGTGATTTCTTTTATAAGAGATGTCAAAAATCCTCCCTGCCTGCCTCGCATACCTTGGCAAGTCTCTGCTTCTGTTTTCTGGCGATCTTGCCTAAATGTCTGCGTTCCCCTGGTAACTTGTGTATGCAGCTTTTTAACCACAGCAGTGCTGTATCTGACCTCAGCCTTGTGTAACACTCAGTATACACCATTGGTTAGCGGCTAAATGACTTCACCTAGAAGGTCAGTCAACAGGTGAACTTGCATTTATGAACCTTTCTTTGCTGATACATTTTGGTAAAGAAATAGTTCTGTTCTCTCCAAATTCTACTGAAAACAGTCTATTCAGTTTTTATCTCTATATTATCTTAATCAAATATTTTTTGTATCTGTTTTGAAACAGCTTATCACCTCTAGGATGGGATAAGTCTCGTCCTTAACAATTTGTTCTTTTCATACTTAGGTCAAAGAAAGCCAGACTCAATTTCTAAAGTATGTGCAAATAATCCAAGTTAATATTTGAAAGATGACTGCTGATTATGACTACCAAAGCGTTCCCCACACTCTTCAGTCTGCTAGATTACACTGCTTTGGACTTTTAACAAAAAAAAAGTTTAATCATCAAGAAATTAAAGTTAAAGCAAGATTACACACACATGCTCCCCTCCCCGCCAACACACACAACTTCTAGAGGAATTTAAAAATTAACACATTTTACATAGAAAATGTAGAACTACATTTTTATACTTTAAGGCTTGATTTATTTTCAAAGTGATTGATTTTGAGTGTCTCAGTTTTGGGGTGCCCAATTCGAGACACCTTAAAGGACTGATCTGAGTACCCATCTTCTGAAATTGCGCCCAGTCACCTTTGAGCATTTAGCTCCTGATTCCTAACTTTTATGCGCTTTATTCAGCACCTAAGTGAGTGACCTGATTTTCTAAGGGGTTGCACACCCAAAATTTTGACAACTGGCCTGTGTTTTTAGTTGCCTTACTTAGGGAAAGAGACTAATGAGATTTATTTTATGGATTTTATTTTTGAATAAACCACACTGATACTGTCTCTATCCCTGGGGTAAACTCTGACTTCTGGGAAGTTACACCAAGAATGATCTGTCCCATGTTTACATGTTTTAATAATTATTTTCTGATTATGTGGCTAACAGCAGTTTACATGTCTTATTTTTACTTGTTTTCCCCTTGGCACCCTTTATATTTGATTTATTCTTATTAATTTACTTAACATTCTTGGTTGACTGGGGAGAAGGTATTGTCTCGTGGCAAAGGCACTGAACTGGGACTTGCACAAGTGAGTTCAAGTCGTGGCTCTGCCACAGTGTCCTGTGTGACCTTGGGCAAGTCACTTCATCTGCGCTGTGCCTCAGTTCCAATCTGTAAAATGGGGATAATACCTAACAGGGATGGTATGAGAATCAAATTCACCAGTGGTTGGGAGGTACTAAATTACTACCTTAATGAAAGCTATATAGATACCTAGTAGAATAACACTGATATTTAAGAGATTATCCAAACAAAGAATTTGTGAAAATATTGGAAGAGTTTACCACTACAGATGGCATTTAAGTATAGAATTCTAAATCACTTCTCATGTACTTTGTGCTTGTTCTCAGTTGCAGGAATGGCCATGGTATTAAATTGTGAGCTGAACAATGTGAACCCCTTTCCTATTCTAACTAAGAACATCATTGATACAGAGCTGGACCACTGGGACCTCATTGTTTTGGGGGATATGTTTTATGATGAACAACTTGCAAACAGTCTTCATCGCTGGTTGAGGAAATGCATCAGTATTCATGGAACTAAAGTGCTAATTGGTGACCCTGGGAGGCCTCAGTTTTTAGGCCACCGCATTCACAGTCAATTGCACCAAGTGGTAGAATATTCACTTCCTGAATCCACTAGGCAAGAAAACAATGGATTAACCTCAAGCATTGTCTGGAGTTACCAGCCCTGACCTCTCGGTTTCTTCAAAAACTGGATTTAGAAGAAGTATGGCCTTTAAAAAAAGAAATCTGTTCTGTGTTTATAAAGTACGAAAATGGAACATTTGGGCAGATCCTCCGCTGGTGCAAACTGCTGTAGCACCACTGAAGGCCACACAGTTATACCAATTCACTCCAGCTGAGAATTTGGCCCATCGTTTGAGAGAAGCCTTACAGGCAAATTCCACTCTTAGACATGCAGATGCCCCCCGCCCTGCCCCATTGAAGCCAATGGAAGCTAAGTGTGCGTGTTCAAAGGCTGAACAGGATGTAACCAAAGAAAATAAAGGTAAATGGGGAGAGGATAATAGAAATTCAGTGTAGCGGCATGCAGCTTAGTGGGCTACCACAGAATGTTCCTGCTCACTGCTGCACCAGTTGATAAGAATATAGTTTTCAATGTCTAGTGAAGATAAGTTTCAGAGTAGCAGCCGTGTTAGTCCGTATTCGCAAAAAGAAAAGGAGTACTTGTGGCAATTTGTTAGTGAAGATAAGTGTGTTGAACTATCTGGCTGCTTCACAAATTTCCTTTGCTAATTATGAGGCTATTTTGTTCCAAGAAGTCACAGTTTTATCCAGCAGCATGTGCCTGCAGTTCCTCTGGGGGATTTAAATCTCCTTCCTGTGTGTAATCCAGTTATACATATCCAGGTGGATATAGCATTCTTGTGAGCTTTCTATTCTCTGCAACTAGGATGTATTCACGAGAATAAAAATAGCGTAGTCCTGTTGATGTACGTGTTAATAGCTCTGCAGACGTCCAAACAGTGTGGCACTAGCCCTTTTAAGACCAGTGCATCTGTACTGCATCAACTGGCCCATATTAGGCTTTAAAAGAAGGCACTTGGGCCTGAGAAAGAGAGACACCAGGTGAGTCAGAGCTAAAAGCTGCAGGAAGCAGCAAGACTGTCAGAGTCCCCTGGCAGGAGAGACAGTGAAAGCCTGAGCAGTGAAGGGGAAAAGTCCCCTGGGGATTGTAGCTCAGGGTGAATTGAGGAATTGGGCTTGCTTGTTTTTTGTTTTAAGTTTGGTCAATAAAACTGCCCCAAAAGAGCCTGTGGGCATGGCAGTGGATCCTAAACAAGCTGGAGAGAAGACCGGCCTCGTTACACACGTCTTCTGGATTGTGCTTAGGGTGAAAGTAGAAAAAATGGGAACACCATGTCTTGGGAGCGTTGGTAAATTGTGTTCCTCTTTTAAATGAGCTCTCCCATTGACCTGTGGTAAAGTGGCTTTAGGCATGACATCACTACTACTTCCTTGCATTAATCCCATCAAATGGGGTCTGCTTTATGAGTCCTCTCCCTCTGAAGTGCTCTGTTCAGTACCATGTCCTGTATCATACTACATGCTATCCAGTCTTCCTTTATGACAGCCACCACTGCTTCTTGGGGCGGCCTCAGTCTTTGTCTTTCAGTCTTGATCTCTTGGACTCTCTCACCTATGTCATTGTCACAGCTGCACTTTGCGAGACCAAACCTACTGTGCCTGCACCCCCCCACCTCATTTTCTCATGTATGGATATTCCTTTGAGCCTGCATACACATTCCTCACATGGTCTTTCTTGCTCCTCCCCACTCATCCTTCTCAGCATTCGCATTTCTTCTTTGTTGCCCAACACTCGTTGCCAGGACAAGACACCATTTTATAAGCTGTGACTTTTAATCTTGCTGGGTCTTGGCACGACACTTCTTTCCTAGGAACTTTTTTCCCAGCCTGCCTCTCTAGATTGGGCCTTTGAAGTCTGCAGCTACTTGATTTTGCCAAATTTAAAGTGATAATTCTGCACCTGGTAAGAACTTCTGTGTTCCCTCTCTTATGAGTGAAGAGCTGGCAAATTCTTATGTCAGAAGAATCACTTTGTCAGCATACAAGTGCTGCCTTGCATAGATCCTGCAGAGGCAGGAACTTCTGGCCAGAGATGAAGGGGCTGGTTCCAGGACCATGTCTGGCCCCTGTTGCCTGATTTTTAGAGATTAGTAGATTGTTATAGGCTCTCCAATTGATCTGACCAGAAGATAGGAAGGTTCTTGTTCTAGAATCAGGCTACACTGCGTTCTATATCTTGTAAGGACCCTTTGGGGGCCTTAAACTTTGGGGTGCATGGCAAGAACACTCACACTGAGGACAAATCAGCCTTAGAGACTTTTATTAAAATAAGTGAAAAGGTTATCAAAGTTCCAAGCCACAGAACCAAAAGGAAATAGTACATTTCTGGGAGTACCTTGCAGAAGTTCCTAGATTAGCATACTCACACCCTTCCTTGGGGACCTGGTGGTAAGAGACGAAGGACCAGCCTCATCCCTGGCATGCCAACTGAGTCTGATGTTCCAGGTTCCTGAATGCTCGAGATTGATGGTGAATAATAGAGCGGAAGGGTCATAGAATCATAGAATATCAGGGTTGGAAGGGACCTCAGGAGGTCATCTAGTCCAACCCCCTGCTCAAAGCAGGACCAATCCCCAATTAAATCATCCCAGCCAGGGCTTTGTCAAGCCTGACCTTAAAAACTTCTAAGGAAGGAGATTCCACCACCTCCCTAGGTAACGCATTCCAGTGTTTCACCACCCTCCTAGTGAAAAAGTTTTTCCTAATATCCAACCTAAACCTCCCCCACTGCAACTTGAGACCCTTACTCCTTGTCCTGTCATCTTCTACCACTGAGAATAGTCTAGAACCATCCTCTTTGGAACCACCTCTCAGGTAGTTGAAAGCAGCTATCAAATCCTCCCCCATTCTTCTCTTCTGCAGACTAAACAATCCCAGTTCCCTCAGCCTCTCCTCATAAGTCATATGTTCCAGACCCCTAATCATTTTTGTTGCCCTTCGCTGGACTCTCTCCAATTTCTCCACATCCTTCTTGTAGTGTGGGGCCCAAAACTGGACACAGTACTCCAGATGAGGACTCACCAATGTCGAATAGAGGGGAACGATCACTTCCCTCGATCTGCTGGCTATGTCCCTACTTATACATCCCAAAATGCCATTGGCCTTCTTGGCAACAAGGGCACACTGTTGACTCATATCCAGCTTCTCGTCCACTGTCACCCCTAGGTCCTTTTCCGCAGAACTGTTGCCTAGCCATTCGGTCCCTAGTCTGTAACGGTGCATTGGATTCTTCCGTCCTAAGTGCAGGACTCTGCACTTATCCTTGTTGAACCTCATCAGATTTCTTTTGACCCAATCCTCCAATTTGTCTAGGTCCCTCTGTATCCTATCCCTACCTGCCACTGTATCTACCACTCCTCCTAGTTTAGTATCAGCCGCAAATTTGCTGAGAGTGCAATCCACACCATCCTCCAGATCATTTATGAAGATATTGAACAAAACCGGTCCCAGGACCGACTCTTGGGGCACTTCCAACTAGACATGGAGCCATAGATCACTACCCGTTGAGCCTGACAATCTAGCCAACTTTCTACCCACCTTAATAGTGCATTCGTCCAGCCCATACTTCTTTAATTTGCTGGCAAGAATACTGTGGGAGACTGTGTCAAAAGCTTTGCTAAAGTCAAGAAACAATACATCCACTGCTTTCCCTTCATCCACAGAACCAGTAATCTCAACATAGAAGGTGATTAGATTAGTCAGGCATGACCTTCCCTTGGTGAATCCATGCTGACTGTTCCTGATCACTTTCCTCTCGTGTAAGTGCTTCAGGATTGATTCCTTGAGGACCTGCTCCATGATTTTTCCGGGGACTGAGGTGAGGCTGACTGGCCTGTAGTTCCCAGGATCCTCCTTCTTCCCTTTTTTAAAGATTGGCACTACATTAGCCTTTTTCCAGTCGTCCGGGACTTCCCCCGATCACCACAAGTTTTCAAAGATAATGGCCAATGGCTCTGCAATCACAGGTCAAATGTGCTCATTCTCAAAACCTGTTACATCTTGCCTGAACTGATTTCTGTTTGTTACTTCTGTGTTTCTGCAGTGTACTCTGTTGAAGGGTTCATGTTTAGTTATTCCACCTGGAAACAGTCAGGGCACACCCTGACTGTTTTGTAGAAGCAATGCACACATTGCTCTATCCAAGGACAAGGACTAGATATGAACCATGAGAAGTTGATTAAAAGACAGTGACCGTGGGAAGCTTTTTTAGCCTGAGCTCAAGGCCTGAGAACCAGGATTGTAGTAGATAAAAGTTGGTAAACAAGTATATTAATCAACGTCATACATTCCTTTGTGTGTCTTTTTGCGGTAGAAGTACGTAATGCATAGGGGGGAGAAATATAATAAAAGGGGAAGGTGGAAAGCTGGGGGGCAGCAGCCCATTTCAGCTGACCAGCCTGCTTGCTTGCATAAAGCTGTGTTCTGTCTCATCATTGAACCGCCACACTCTGTGGTCAATGTTAAGCCTCGACTTTCTTAGGTAAACACGTCTAGTTCCCCAAAATCTCAAAGGGTGACTGTTAGGCCAGTTATATATGCCAAAGGTCACAAGCCTACTTAACCATACTTATGTTAACTTCCTTAAGATAATCATGCAGGATACAGGCCTGCAAGTTCCTTGCATTACAGACAAACAGACTAATTCAATACAAAAATACAAGCCAAATAAAATAAAATAATCAAGCTAGTAAATGAAGGCAAAATATAATAAAGCAAGCCAGCAAATTAACCCTATAAAGCAAGTCAGCAGCTTAAACCTATAGGCTACACCCCTTCCTGACAGCTCTAGGGGTTTGTCTACTCTACCGCTTAAGTAGATGTAACTTAAGTTGCTCAGGGGTGTAAAAAGCGAGTGCCCCTGAGTGACACCCGTTATACCAACGTAAAGTGGTGTCCACACTGTGCCATAGCCATGGAAGACACCCTCTCGCCGACATAGCTTCTGCCTCTCCTTGAGGTGGAATAATTATGCCCACAGGAGCGTGTTCTCCCATCAGCATAGCATGTCTTCACCAGATGCGCTACAGTGGCTGGTATAGCACACTAGTGTAGACTAGCCCCTAAGCGTCTCCAAGGACGGGACCCGATCAGTGAGTAAGAGTCAG